AGTATTGAATATGTTAGCTCCACTTATATAATTTAATTTGTCTTGAGTATATTATCAAATCTAGAACATTTTAAATATCCTTCGAATTTCAGATATTATAGCAAACCATAATTGAAGTCTAAAAACTAAATTTAAGATGCTCGATGTTTCTCTGTTAAAGTTGGATAAAAAATAGACTTCTTCAAAACAAAATAAATGTTTAGATGAATTCAAATGCTTTGCAAAGGTTTTAAGTAGTCCTTTAAATATTATTTGAACTGTTCGAATTTTCGAGTAATTTTATATTCGAGTATTCTTGTGATCGAGCAATCCGGTCGCTCAAAAGCGACACAGCTAGTCTTTCGATTATGGTTGAACACTTCGAGCAATTTAATGTTTGTTTAAGGTTTGTGATGGAACACTTGGATCGAGCAAAGTGAGTCAATCGAACAGGGTCAAACGCTATATTGTGTTCGAATATACAATGTTATTTGTCTTTTTATAAAAGAAAATGAATATAAAATGTGGAAAAGCAGATTTGCTATTCGAGTAGCTCGAACAATTCGAAAAACGTCTAGCATTTTCGAACATCTGAAGTGTTCGATTTAATTTATCAAAACTTTAACTTGTGAATTAAGTGAACTTGAATTATTCGAACACCGTAAAGCACTAAACACTATGAAATACTATTATTATATTCCAAACATGATAGGTCAAAATAAAAAAAATAAGGCTTAGTAAGGAATAAGTCTCTAGTATAAGTGTTTTAAAAGGATGCAGATGATAGCTTTAATTCTCCAAATATCGCTTGTGAAGCTAGTAAGGTCACTATTAAAAGCAACAAACTTTGATTTAAAGTTGTTCCTCATAGTTGTCGTTCTATGAGAAGCTAACTAATGTTCTATAAAGAGCATATTAAACTCAATGCTAAAGTAAATAAAGGGTGTGTTCTTTAGTAAAACCTCCTTTTGGTTATAATCTCTATAATCGGTTTTGTTGCCATTGTTATAAAGCGAGGAAGATATGGCTTCATCATATCTACCAACTATATTGATTTGGTAAGTCCACTAGATCAAGTGAACGGGTCAAATCAGTATAAACGTTTAATAAACCATAGAAAAAAATACGAAAAAAGTGGAATTATGCAAGTAGATATATATAGTTTCTTCAAACTATATTAATATAATCAAAATTTAATTTCTCTTAAAATTTAACAACTTTTATTGATTTGAGAATAATGAGTTAAAGGATATGCAGACGGTAAGGTTTAAAGGGTAAATGTCAGTTTACTAAGAAATGCAACGTTTTTTGAGGTCCTGAATAATTTCCAAAATATATCATTAAAAATATTTGTAATTTTATTTGCATTAATTATTTAATTTTCTACTATTGTTTTGTAAATGGTCGTCATGCAGTTCGACATCAGTTTTTCCTTTTATAAAAATATATTGTATGTGTGGATATATATTTTTAAAGCTTTCAATTTTTTATTTCTATGAGTAAAGTATGGTTCCTACATAACAGTCCTCAAATTATAGTACAGTGGAAGGCATGCTTATCTACATATCCTACCAATATCCTTGTTCGTTTTACATATTATTTTTGTTGCTATACTTTTGTATGTTCGTTGCTTTACAATTTATCTTAATTTAAATAAAATTAATATGTGAGCAAATGCTGAAGTCACGTGTTTGTTAACAATGTCAATGTTAATTAATTAAGCATTTGAACCAATCCGCGTTGGTGTCAACACCTTCATGGATGAAACGTTAGTAGCCATACTTGCACTTGATCCTGTAGTAATTGCAGTTATAGTTGAAGTTGTTGGGAAGTTTGTTGACATTGTTGTTGGAACTGAAAGTGTTGTGTTGCTCACGACATCGGCTATGACAGTTGTTAATAATGTTGTTGTTGTCGTTCTGTTGCTCGTGACATCAGTTCCGTCAGTTGTTATTAATGTTGTCACTGCAGCTGAACTTAACGTGTCTGACGTATTCAATACATTGAGTTGTTCAGCTTTTTCATCAAGTAAAAGTCATACATTTAAATCAGACATCATTTTTCGAAAATCATTAAGTGAACCATATGTATCAAAATCATCACCATCCAAACCACTGCCACGCGAGCCGTTTCGACTACTTGCAGCAGGGTTCGTTGGACGTGGTAAAGTCAATGGTACTGGTAGCAGTTCAGGCATAACAGAATGATGTGTTATTAGCGCACGCAATGAAGTAAATTCTTTCGTGAAGCCCTAAAAACAAAATTTTCATATGTCATAAGTCATGTATAATCATCTATAAGCAACATTTACCTTAATTTTATATCCTCTAGGCGTTTTTAGTATTAAGTAATGCGCAACTTTTGGCGCTGGTGGCGGTACTCTTAGCGATAATGCAAAACAACCGGGTTTTGTGCTACTTTGTCGCACCAAAAATGCACCAGGACTCTGTCGTGATAATACTTCTAATGAGATCTCACGTGGTATGCCCGCTTGAAACCAAGCCGCACCTTTCAGTTCATTCTGTTCAGCTAAGCTAAGACTATCTAAACGTAATGGCGCGCTTGGTGCAAACATCTTTGGACTTGAATTCGCTAAATAATTATGTAAATATAATAACTTTTAATATATATTAGTTTATTTTTGAATATTAGATTGACTTACCACTGCAAGTTTCTCGCAGATATTTTTTCTTGTAACTAAATTCGTTATGTTCTTGTAGGCGGTGAGCTGCTTCCATAGAGGGTAACGCGGTTAACGACTGTCGACACGAATCACCAAATTTACTAGATATTATTTTATCAGGTTCACATATCGCCTCGTTCACATAACCATCGGATATTGTCTGTGAGGAGCCAGAGTTGAGAGAGGATGAAGTGGTATGTACGAGCGGTCGACTTTCTAGTTCTGTTGAGCGCAGCAAGCCCATACCCATGGTTAGTCTTTTTACCTAAAAATCACAAACATTATATAAAAAAATTTTAATTAAGAAAATTAATAAAATTAAAAAAATTTCAATAATATACGAGTACAATAAATTAAATTGTTATATGTGTACGACAATCAATTATTCACACTCTTAAATTTTTAAAACAAGTATCTTTAACCTTTTCTGAGTACAGAATGATGTCAACGGTTGCAAAGACTTCGTGCAGGTTAAAAAGTTTAAATGCAAATCAATTGAAAACGTTGTTCAACAAAAGTTTATCGCAGTTTGGTAAAAAGTATTAACAACTGCAAAACGACGGAGTGCACGTATGCCTTGATTTAGCAAATTGAAGGTGCAAAGTTTGTATCTTTTGCTCTGATGGTATATGAAGTTGCTTCCATATATTCGTAGTTTAACAACTCAGACATGTTGAGGTATCATATAACAAAATCCAATATAAAGCAACAAGAGCATTATGAGTGATTCATGTAACTTTATGTTCACCTCATAGGCGTGTACTTATAACTGAGTAGGGAAGAAATGAAGGAACACCTTTAAGAATACGTAAATTCTAAGTTTGTTTTGCCCGCTTATCAAACTAGGGTGCATGAATGATAAGAAATGTCATAGAATTTATACCCGATAGAAGTAAAAATTCTATTGTACATTGTTGCTGATATAATAAGGGACCAGAAAAGCTAAGTAATAATGCCTGTGTTTGATTTGAGATTGCTTTGGTACTTGTAAAATGGCGTTAAGTATAAATTCAGCATAAGCTTTATTAAATATTATTTGTAGATATATGTTATAGGTACGTCAAGTGGAAGGAGGTCCTAACTTTTCAGTTAGGTTGGTGAGCTGATTGGTATTTCATAGTCAACCACATGCAATGGTGTACGTAAGAATTGGATATCAAGTGAGTTGTAGAATATAATACTGAAGGTACCAGTATTTTATTATTATACGGGCAAATAAATAGTGGTCGTATTTCCCCTTTCTTTTTTTTTGTAATAATTTGTTTATTTTAATGATGAAATATTAAACATTAATGAATTTCAATGTTTTTTGTGGGCTTGAGAAATATTTAATTTTTTTTCAAAACAAAACACTTTGATTCTCTTTAATTATAAATTTTTTTTTTCAATTTATTCAATGCTAGAGACTAATTCTAAAGGGAATTAGGAAGCTGAAATCTTACAATCCAACCAATCTTCTTAATGGGATCTTTTTGGGTGATCCCTGAGCATCAATAACACAAATTAGGATAAGGTTATATTGCTGCAAGAATAATGAACTTAGAGATAATAACGAGGGAATGGAAAGATTGAACCTAATCTGTTTAAAAGTTTAGGAACGTTGCCATATATGTGAAAATTATCAAATTATCATATGATGCAATTGGAGCGTTAGACGGTATCAAGAGGTGTGGAATGGCAGTTTAGTAATAGGTGAAGTAATTCGTGTTCTTTGTTGTTATTTATCTACAGTCAAATGAAAATTCACCAATTCATTTGGTCACAGTCAGATTAGATGTAATAGAATAAATGTTCTTTCGGAATATAAAACATGTTGTTAATAACATAATATAACTAATGAAACTGAATTTTTTGAAACTGGAATAATTGAGTTTTTGGTTGGGTTAGTACCACCCTCGCAATTCGTAACTTCCACTCTCCAACAATGTACTTATTTTATTATATTGCATGATTAAACAGAACTCGATAACAGTTTATATTTTTTGTAAAGACCTTAGCCAATTTATGGTACATAGATTACTCAATTCAACAACAAAAAAGCTGAAAAGTTTCGCAATTTAAATTCAGATTAATTTTTGTATTCTTAACCGGACACCTGGAAACTACCATCCTTAAAAAATGTCATTGCAGGTCGCTGGCACATACAGATTGTGTAAAATATTCGTGTCTTTCGATTATTAAGAAATTAAGTGAAGATTTGTATTTGTCATAGATAGTATCATCTGTAGTTTTGAACTTGAACATCTTGTTAAATTGATCAATAGTTTCAATATAGCGTTAACACAATAGATCTCAAATAAGGCTTTGCATATTTGTCCTTTTAAATACAAAATAAATGCCTTTTGTATATTGTACCTTATCTATTTCTCCTGCGGTGAAGGGGTTAGAATAATCCCTCGGTAGGCATGCCTGTCGTAAGAGTCGACTAAAATCCCGGTACCACGCTGACACTTGTGTAAGAAGTGTGCATGGTAGCCTGCGACATTTGACTAGAGATTGTAATTGATATTGATATTCAGATGTCTGAGTTGGTGAAACAGCACCTTTACTCTATTTTATTTGTGGACAGTTTTAAGTCACACTAAATACGGGGCTTTACGGGGCTTTATAAGATGATGGATCTGATGTCTTTGTATCTGCCTGTGTTTATCAAATTTCGCTGTATTTTTAGGATACTGAGAGTTGGATTATTGTGACTGTCAATTGTATTGAACAGTTTCAGAGCACGATCTTTAATGTATTTTTCAACTGAATCCACTCTCAGATCTCTGATACTACGGGGGTCAGTGGCCCGCATTTTTGGCTGTGCTGACCAGTTAATGTTGGACTCGTAGTGACTGTGATTAATATCAAAACTTACGCGGGGAGAATGTTCATTCATTAGGCGTGGAGTTGCGTATTTACTACCGGGTGCTGAGACCCAAAGATCAGCAGAGGCTTAGATGAGCCTCGTATCAAACCAAAGTAGAAGTTATGTCTTACACACATTTCTTATTGGCACCGGCGAATTTTTTTGGAGTTCCATTGGGCGCATATACCGATGTGTGTGTGAAAAACACTGTGATGTTAAGCCTTCATAGCAGGAAATCACGTTAAATAACTCTGGATTTCTGTACATTATATATGTCCCTTCACATATGGTGCTCTGAACTGATAAAATAAAAATATCTGATATATGATTCAGTATCTAAACTTTCCATTTAGTAAAGAGATAATTTTTCTTAGTTTGTAATTTAAATTTTCTGCTTTTAGTTTTTGTTGTCGTTTTTGTCTTTGGCTTTATCTTGCAATAGACACGTTCCATAGTTCTCCAGTTAAATGTATTGTTTGCAGTACCTAACAATCTTAAACTTTTTCATTGCCACATCCATTATCAATGCTACCGAAAAAGGGCGTCTATTGTGTGGCATGCAACACAAAATGTAAGCCAAGATTTTATGGAAGTTAACAAAACTATTTCCCATTTTCTGGTTAGTGGCATTTGCAGTGTCTTTCCCCTCTTCCAGCCAGACGTGAAAATTGTGTGCAGTTTGTCATTTGCAGGCGTAACATTTCCATTGTATTTTTCCATTTATCGCCAGGATTTGTGTGTCATAAAGTCAGTAAGTTTGGATTTTCTTCACATTTTTGCATTTTTGTATTTTTGTAATATTGTATTTTTGTAATATTGTACTTCTCTATTTTTGTTTTTGTATAAGTAAACTGAAGCCCGTGTGCATCTACAGCTGCCGAGTGAAGCTCTATGGTTTGAAAAACTGTGCCTGTTCAGAACGGGGAAGCACAGAAGTACTTAACCAAAAGTGTTGTTAATGCAATTTGAACGCGTTCAGAACGTTGCACATTTTTTGCTTAAATAATTTCTTCGGATTGCAATTGTTGGCGTAGGTTCGAGTTGTTTTGGGGCGTGTTAAAGTGCTCATGTAGAAAATTTGTGGAAAATTAATTTAGTAAAACTACAAACAGCACTTGTCAGAGTTGTCAGAATCAAAATTGCACAAATTAATTTGAGGGACAATTATGTGGCCAAAAGGTGCGGTAGTGTGGCAAGATAATAATAATGGTAAGATAATTTATAAGAGGATAAATTAATTTTATAATTGCAGTTTAAGAACTGCAACCATTTGTCATACCATTTTCTCATTTCTTAATCCATACCTATTTAACATAATATATGGAAATCTTTAAATAGTTAGAAGAGGTTGTCTTAAAAGCTTATATTGTTGGGAATGATTCTGTTTGCAATTCAAAAAGTACTTAAAATTATAAATTGAATTCCTGAAACTGCAGTCAATTCATTCTATCTATATGTCTCTTTGATTGAATTGAAACCCATATATGTTAACATGATTTGTTAGAAGCTTACTGTGATTATTGACAACTGACAGTGTTTGCCGATTGACTTTTAAAACTTCTATAAAAAGGGGACAAGATATTTATTAGGTACTTTCCTTGTAAATTCAATATATTAAGTAGGTGATGATTTAATTATGCGAACATTTTGTCATGGAAAAATTTTTCTTGAGAGAAACAAATTTAATTTTAGTATATCAAAAGATCTTTCAATTATTAATTCCATTATATATTATTTAAATAGGTTATAATGATAATCTCTTTCCGGTTTTCGTTCCTGCAAAAATATCGATTTTTTCGGTTTTTGGTTCGGTTCCATTTCGAAGCCCTGTGTAGAAATACCTTAATCTTTTCATATACATTTACTGTAGAATTAGAGTGTTTATAACTAAATCTCTGATCAAACGTTGAATACAAAATGACGAATTTACAACTGGTACTGCAGTACAGATAAATGCCAGGGTAAAATATAGTTCATTGATTTGACTACATAGTAGCTTGCTGGTGATTTACATGTTGAAATACCTTAACCTTTTCATGTAGCATAGCTATGTATTTCCTTATTTCCTGAATTTTCTTTTCTTCCTTTTCTACGAACTTAATAGAGTTCCGGCAATTATCAATGAATCAGCCTATCCTTGAAATAGGCATTTGTAATAGAAACACCACATTAGGTGAATAATATAAAAACATCATAGTCATTTATATATTATATATTGCCCAAAAACGGTTAAGACATTGTTATGACAGTTTGGGCTTTATGTGGAAGAGGTAGTCTGCAGATCATTAATTGAGAAATGCTGATATAAAACATACCAACGAAACAAAACAGAATTGGTGATCAAATTGGCGTGCATTTTATATAATATTTCTCTTTTTTTTTATCTTTTGGAAGTAGTCATAAAAACTTACATTCTATCTGCCTGAAGTTTTTGAACACAATTTCACAATAGCGTAACGAGTTTTTGCCACCAAAAATAGAATAGAATATAATATATATGGGGCATTGGCTGATTTCTTTTACTACTATCCGACCCTAACTGTACAGAACACACTGTAATTCTCATATATATGCCAGTTGTTGATGGCATTCTAGCAATTGACCAGGTAGATATAGAAACTTTTGGCTCAGTAAACTCTCTAGATCGGCATCAAAGCCGAACAAATTTAGCTTTCGAATGTTGGTTTAAATGTCAGTCGTTGAGAACATCCCAAAAATTGACCAGACAGATATAGGAATTTTTGGCTCAGTAATCTCTCTAGTTCAGATCGAAGCCGAACAGTCAGACAAGATTTTATGGGGTTTTCTATGTGCTTCAATATAGAGTCGACATATTTTTCCTTTAGATAACTGAACTTGTTAAGATGATAAAGGAGATCATGATAACCCATCAAATAAACAATGTCAAATTTATTTCACTGAGTGAAGATGCTCTAACGTAATTGTAAGGATGAACTAGCTCTTTAGTATGGCAACTATATGAAGTGTTCTGCTAGTAACAATTTCTTTTAGTTACAAACCAACCAACTTATTTCACATTAAGGGTTTTGTCCACAGATTATATAGCTGATACAATTCTTGCAAGTTTATATGCTGACTCATTATCAGGCACTCAACGAAAGCTCCACTCTCTTATTTTCACCACTTTCTGCAATATGTCACTGCTGTCTACTATTATTATTACTACTAAAAATAAGGCTTTTAAATAATTTTTCAGAAAATTCGGCAGAACCATTACAGATCTTTAATTTCTGCTAGATAAATTTTATATTAAAATGCTTATAAGCCGCTATTTAAATGCTTATAAATTAATCAATTAATCGCTTTACATTCAATAATATTTTTGCATCTATTAATAAAAAATGTAATATAAAAAAATATATATATCTGTGAGGTTGCTACTCTAGTAGTTAAACCGTTAATCCAGTACTTTGATTTAATTTAGGTTGATTGAATTTTAAAAATTTGGGTACAAAACAGTATCATAAAATCCTTCTTGATATTGATATTGAACTTATGATGCATTCCAATTCCCCATTCAATAGATCTGCTCTAATTCATTTCATGAACGAAACACATTAAAAAGCATATGCAACTTCTAATATTCAAAACTGCTAAATGAAAGATCTAAAAAGTTAGCATCGCCATAGGAAACCAGTGCACATCACAACACATCAATATAACGACTTCATGGATGAGGATAAAAGATTTATGTGCTGCTCCAGTGATTGTGCAGTGTGGAGCCGTGCTGTGCTCCTGTATTTATCGTTACAAATGAAGCATCGCTCCGTACACGATTTTAAAATTTATTTGATTACAGTTCTTTTAGCTTTTCTTACAGCATTTGTACCGTTGCTAACTGCTAACTGCTAACTGCTAACTGACTTACAGCAATCTGAGTGAGCAATAAATTTACAATGGTTAACATGTCGTATACGTAACATTTGCATTTTGCATTTGTTTGCTTTTCGCGTGCTGAAGGGGGAATGAGGTTGAAAGTCTTTAGTTTCAGTTACTTACGAGTGGCGGTTTATCAACTAAACGTTTGCAATTGTTCATTTCCGTTGGTGAATTGTCCTCCTCTGAGCTGGGAGAGCGTGGCACCTGATGTTGATGTTGTTCAATGTTTGTCTCATTGCAACTAAAAATTCAATTTAAATTGTGTTAGAAAATTATATTTAAATCTAATTTAAATATATTTGTATGTATGAGTATTTTAATTAAATTACCTTAAACTTATTTGCGGCAGCAGATGTAAAGGTCGGCTGCCTTGATTAGTGGGCACGTGAGTCATGGGCTGTTCGACTCGTATGCGTATATCCTGCATATTTTCCGCTGCTTTACTATTATTTCAATACTTAAATGAACGATTGGAGTTCAACATTTGCTTGTGAGATAATATTTAGACCTAAAATGAAAAAATTTAAAATAAATAAATTTATTTAAATTAAAATTTTTTATTTGTTAATTTTTTGTTAAACAAGGATCATTTTTGTTTTGGTATTTTGCGTAAAAAGAGTCCTTTTTGGTTTTCGTTTTTTACTTCTCAACTGAACAGTACTTAAAATTTTAAACTTTTCTATTTTTCAGCACTTAAGCAAACAAAAGTAAACTTCCACAAAACAAAATAAAACTTCTAAAGACTCTAAAGTACTTGAAATTTTCTTATAAACACCAAATTTTACAAAATTATACCCAAAAATTTGTGTTGCCTGTCCTTCGTCTGTGAGCTCATCGTCATCAGTTTAAATTTAAGCAGGCAAAAATTCTGGTAGAGATTTTTGCGGTCTTCGGTGGTAAAGTTTGTGGTTTGTCAAAGTCTTTAAAGTGCCTCGAACGTGTTTTAAAGTTTAAAATTAAGCAAAAACCTACTTCGGCTTCGTCTCTCGCTCAAAATGATTAGAACTTTAGAAAATTTACAGGATATTTGATAGTTTCTTTAAGCTTTAATTAAATGCCATAAGCAGTTTAAATACTGCCACAAATGCTATTACTGCTGCTGCTGCCGCCACTACTAATAGTCAGTGTATACCCAATCCTTCCAATCCTGCCTGCTGATATGGTCTCATTATTTTGTTGGTTATCGGGTTTCTAATAATTTTTGCTGCACTGCCTTTTTTGTTTCTATTAGCACTTGGCCATCAATAGACCGCAAATATTTTGATAATGGCTAAAATTTAAATAACTGATATGTTAATAACTGTTCTTGGTCCTTTGGCTTATTGGCTCTTTTTGCTTTTGTTATTATGACTGCCTCTGCTGTGGTTAGTGTCGGTTGGTTCATGGTGGTTCGTGGTAGATACTCTGCCTTTGGTTTCGGTGCTGATAATAACTTAGCCTTTCTCATTGCGATTAACTCCGTTTCATTCGTTTCATCCGTTTCATCCGTTTCATGTCTGTTTATTTAGTGAAGCGTTATGAGCTTTTTGTTGTTGCTATTTCTACTGCTGCTGTCTGTGCTTAGCTCACGCTTCAATGATTTTTATGTTAGCACATTAGTTTATATATTGCAGATAGTTTGTTTTTCTTGGAATTAGATGCTGCAGATAGATTTATTTTAGCATAAATAAACGCAAAGCAATTTTTCGATTAACTGTTAGTAGAGACATAAAAAAATTCCATATATGTACATATGTACACCATAATATTCACTTTATTAATATATTTGTTATTAGAATTTCGTTGAGAATAATAAATTTTTATGATTTCAATAAGCAGTTGATGATATTCAGTGATTTTAGTAAATCTCTGATATTAAAATTGTTGGGAACTTAATAATACTCTAATAATATGTGCAGTAAAAACAGTACTACTTTAAGAATTACACAATTCAGTTTTTTTCTAAGAAATGTAAAAATTTTTAAATTATTTTTTATCACAATACAATCATATAAACAATAATAATCAAGTTAGAAAATAATAAACATATAGCGAAGACATAAGAAATACTAGAATATGGTATCCTAGATTAAGTAAGGTAAGGTGAAGTCGACGGAAGACCAAAACCTCTTTAATTAGCTAAGAAAGCCATTTTGATTCTACAATTCTTCGTAATAGTGGGTAGCGGTCATGTTGGAACGAGCTGGAAGCATTGATAAATGCGGGTATCTAGCCAATGTCAAAGCTGGAGATATCGCCGAGTATGTTAAAGAAGGGGACACACAAAAGCATAAGTCTCAGCACCGGGAGACACTACCGGCTACTACCGTGGGTAGACCGAGCTTGGTTCCATGCCATCCTATATATTAGTACTCTGTTAAAACAGATATTAACATAGATACTTTTGATTTTCCTCTGTGTACCAAGTCAGAGTTTCTATATTTGGAGTAAATTAGCCATGTAACCCTAGCCCTGACTTGTAAGGAAGTATGAGTTAATTTCCTATTTGCCTGTCGCAAAATGTTGTCATAACTGCTAGGACAGGATGTCGTTTCATGAAACTAAAGAATATTCTTTGGGATCCTTTATTCTTCTAATACTATCTATGGAAGCTAAAAACAATTTTTTTTGAAAAGAAACTATCGAAGGATTATAAGTATGTATAAGCGGAAATTTAATCAAGAATAATTATTTAAAAATTTTGAAAACCTAAAATTTAACTATGTTGTCAGCAAAAAGGTTTCCAAAAAAATTATTTTCAATCACACCATATAAGTACAAGGAACTATTAACTATCATATTAAGGAATATTTAATGGACTAAAAAACAATAGATGATCTAAGTTGCTAGATACATGCAGGGTCCTAGTACCTCGTTAAATATATTAAATAGACTCGCAACTCTCGTGCGATTTTTTTTATTCCTTGCACCAAGGAATTAGCTCAGATATCCACTTGGGGAACCGTTGGTGCATAACATGATATTTATAGTCAACATGGGAACTTATTTTTCATAATGTATTGTAATTGTAAAATTTAGTTAGAATGGTAGTGTTTGTTATGTTGTGAATCCAACCTGTCGAAAGCGTGAATGTACTATCGAAAGTATCGATGCTGTTTTTTAAAGAGATGGATAAAATCGAGAACAATACACTTCAATTTCTAACATATGCGGTCCAAAACATATATAAAAAAAATTAAACCAACGAATTTTTCCAAAGATGATGTATGTATATGAGGATGTATACTTAGCGAAATCCGAATTAGCTTTATGGTCAGTGTAAGCCCATAAAGTCCATAAAGTCTATTATTATTTATTTTATTAAAAGAGTAGACGTGAAAATTGCCCAACAGCCGGTACTGCGGCCATAAGAGACCTATTGCGCCAGTTTCACTATTGATTAAACAAAGCCCCTTAAAGCTTTATGAATAAAGTCTAGAACTAAATCTAGAGAAGAGTTCTTTATCTGTTCTGGTGACAGAAATTCTTTATGAAACAGGTTTCTTCTGTGCGTTATTAAAGCTGGACAGTCACAAAGAA